ATATTGGCGGCCCACCGTTTTCGTGTTCCTCGATAACAAATGCGCATTCGATTCGGTGGATAGATATGCACTTTGGAACTGTCTACTCAGGAAAGGTGTACCTGAGAAATATGTGAATATTATCCGAGCATTATATGCGTGTAGCTCGGGCAGAGTGAGGGCTTACGGCAAGTTGTCGTCGCCCTTTAATATCTCCGGCGGCGTGAGACAAGGATGCCCGCTGTCACCTTTCCTCTTCAACTTCGCTATTGTCGAAGTCATGGAAATCGCGTTCACAGGACACGAATTAGAAGGTGTGGATCTGCTCCCAGGAGAACGACTTATTGACTTAGAGTATGCCGATGATAATGTCCTAATTTGTGACAGCTCACAAACGTGTCAAGCGGCACTGGACAGATTAGCACTAGCTGTCCGTCACTTCGGGCTTTGCTTCGCACCCTCGAAGTGCAAAGCGTTCTTCCAAGATTGGTCTGGACCGCCTCCCTAGCTGACCTTTTGTGGGGATCAGCTAGAAGTCGTTCAGAAATTCAATTGCCTGGGAAGTTTTATCAGCGCCCGTAGGATTGTGGATGAGATCATGAACCGTATAGCAAAAGCTCGAAGTGCTTTTGCCAACCTTCGCCACTTATGGGGCTGGCTCGACATCGTCCTTGCCCTGAAGGGTAGAGTGTACAATGCAAGGGTACGTTCGACTCTACTGTAGGGTTGTGAAACCTGGCCGCTTAAAGCAACGGACCTGAAGAGGCTAGTTACGTTCGACCACCGGTACCTTCGCAATTTAGCTCGCATCTGTTGCGAACACCGCGTGAGCAACAAGCGTGTTCGATGCCTTGTTTACGACACAGGAAAAGGAACTGAACCGTTCAGCACCGTTATTTCACGCACCAGGCTCCGATGGCTCGGCCACGTGTTAAGCACGCCACCCCACCGACTCGCGTGACATGCGTTGTTTGCGCGCCGGGGATGTGGATGGAAGAAGAGGAGGGGTAGACAAGCGATGACTTGGTCGAGAGGAATGAAGGCCCTTACTTCTGGGCTGGCCTAGGTTGGAGCGTCACGGCTCTCTGGTTGGGTCCGAAAGACGATGAACACGTTTGGTTGGATACACTTGTTGATATGGCTAGAAGCCGACCTCAGTGGCGCTCGTGCTGTGAGTTTCTTTGTCCCACCCCTACCCTCTTAGCCTCCTCCTCCAACCACGATCTCATTATTTAACCTTATATACTTTTGCAGAGTAATTTTTTGATGCATTGTAGCCCGCTGGTAGCTTACCGGAACGATGCCCATCCGGTACCGGTAGCTCAGCCGGCTTGCCCCAGTTGAATTTTTTCTCTCCTTTTTTCTGTGTATTGCGGCACAGTAGCTCAGGTTTTCACCACCTCTAGCTAACGTGTATGATGATGCTGACGCGTTTGCAGAACATTGTATGCCCTACAGGAGTGTGTCATCCGTGCTCCCACGCTCTCAGTGTTCAAAGGCCGAGTTCATCTTGCACATATTTCTCTGCACCATCTTACATGACCCAGTACCCATGGATAAGCGATTTCACTGGCAGTCTCAGTACAGATTACGTTCTACGTTTTTCATCTCCTTTATGCGTACACCAGAAGGAGACACGATTCTTCCCAGCATCACATTTGCCGTCATTTGTTATTGATTTACCTTGGATTTACAGTCTACACTACGTATACTTCAGTGAGTACACTGTATAAACCCTGTTTTGCTAACAATTTTTATATTTCGAATTTTCACCATAACCATCCCACGGGACCCTTTAAGCATTAGCTTTTTTACCCGTCTAATACCATTGTTCCAACCATTGTTCCAAGTGAACTGAGTCATGCGTTTTATCTACCTACTGAGACTGAGGCTGATGTTGCATTCTTGATGCTTCTTCACCGCAGTTGGCCTAAACCAACTTACACTTAAACTAGGTTTATTTAAGCTGGATAAATTTCACTCCACTTTATTTGGTTTGTTCTGCCCACCTGAATAATCTTCTATTAACTGGCCACGTTGCTTACACTAATTGCGCTTATCTTCGGTAATTTTGTTGGGTTTGTAGCATTTTGCGTAACTTGTGGACATTCTTTTTCCTTATCACGGATTCATTGCTAACCAAATTACTTCATAGGCTAATTTAGCGAAGAGTTATGCCACCGTATCTGTATACATTATTGGATTTATTTTATTTCAGCTTGTCGTTTCAAGTGATTGGCTGTTGCTTGATATCCCCGATGTGGCTGCGCTTGATGTGCATGTTGACAAGGTGCATACCTGTCTATTACCCACTACCTCGTCCATACTGGCTCCAGGAGACAGTTGGTCGTTGCTGGAGGGGACGGGGTGCACGGTCCTTGTGGCCGTGCTAGGCTCGAAGAGTGGTTCCATGCACTCAGTGTGGAGCGGACTACGGTCCAGCCACCGCCTTGTGTGCACTTGATTCCCCAAATACAGCGTGCTTGTGTTTGCCTGTGAAGGAGTGTGGGCCGGCTCCGTTGATGAAACGTGGTTCCCATCCGCATGCCTCCCGGTCTTATTCCTTTGGGTTTACACTGGATATGGGGTGTGTGGTTGGAGCTGTTCGTGGTGCAGCGCAAAACACCTATGGTCCCTCTGTAGGCTCAGGTGTCCTGTGGCTGGCCACAGTGACAGGCAAATCCGAAACCGGATGCCGCCAAGCATGTAGATAATTTACGGAGGCCACATTTTGATGATAAGCACTTCAACCTGAGTCAAACGGGACATGCGACACTGATAGGAAAGAGCTCATCTGGCTTCGATTGTCGGTGAAGACCTGTTCCACTTACACTACAGGAAAAATGAAAACGAGTTCGTCGGCTGAGGTTGTGAATAGAGTTATTCCTTCTGATGGAATGGGATAACGAAACAAAGGGTAGCCGAATGCTAATTCTGTGAGTTGTAACACAATTTGTGCCACTCCGAACCGAGTCAACTAACTGACTATAATTTTAATTTCATAAGATGTATATGCTGCCGTGAATATATATGTTGGATGGCTATAATTTTCTCGTTCGAGTAAATATTCTTACTTTCGGAGTATATCTTTTGTCATCTATTAATTTTCGGTTTAAAATCAAAGATAGCGGCCATAATGTTTTATGCCACAGTAGGAAGTTTGTCACAAAGCGCTAGCGAGATAACACACTTCTTTGTTGCTTCGCGTTTTGAGTTCAGCATCCCCAGACTGTCCTCGTTGTTCGCATCAAGTGTCTGCTTACAATTGTGCTACTTGTGTGAGCACTTAAGGTCTATCCTTAGTTTAGGTAAAATTAGGAGTCGGTGTGTTATCAGTAAGAAGCTTTACACGGCTGGGCGCTTTGTGGGAAATGTGCAAGCGCCAAGGATGACGCCACAGGAAATTCCTTATGGTCTTAATTTACTCTACGACAATATCTACCACCATAAGAAATCATGGCCTTCGGTAGCATTGTTAGGCATTTACGCTAATATAAATCACGAACCCCAAGGCAACCTGCGATGTGGATGTCACAGACACTAGCACCCGTAAGCTTGAAGTGTGGATAAATCAACATTATCCAAAATGAATGACGCACTCACGGTGCGAAGCTCAAACGTACCAGAGGCCGATGATACGTCGTTGAGCGGAAAAGAGCAGTAATTTAGCCCTATGACAACAGTATAGTTTCGTAAGTAAAACTTTTAATCCTTCCCGAATTCAACTTTCTCCACAGATAGACTACTGAGTTCCGTACTCCACTGTTGTTTGTTCGGATGCGCTGAACTTGAAAAGACCATACTACTAGGCGAAGGGTTTATTCCATTGGAAGGCATTCAGCTGCGCACACCCAATCCAATCAGCGTTCGACTGTTTCCAAAAGACACCCCCATATTTATGCTGACCATGAAAAAAGTGAGTCATTACATTTTGTCGGATAAACAACAAATGTCAACCATACCGGCTTAGCAGATACAGTCGAATGTATTAAGCACCGGACGAAATAATATGGATCCATATGTATGAGTTTTAATTAACTATACAGCTACGTTTGTTGTGGCTTTGAAGTAACGTACCACTGCATGAATGATCACCGCGGAATCAGTACCTCAGAGCAGCAGAACGTCTGAACGAAGGTATTGGTCTTTATGTAAAGAAAATATGGAAGCGAAAATAGTTGAAACTTACAGATTCAATGCACTTCCCTACGTTCATAAGCACTGGTTGAGAAGGGCGCACTGTCCTTAAAACAGCGCACATCGTGAAAAAACGGAGGATCAAGCTACTATTTTGCTGCTATGTTTGACCTCAGAAACAGTGTCCATGCAACACAGTTACGATGACGTTTTAGCTTACTAGGGGGGGTCCATTGGGCTTATACCGATACAGATTAAGTCCTTGGTTCTTTATTAAAACTGTCGAACAAATTAATCTTCCTGCTGCTTATTCAGTACTCGCAAATCAGTTGGTCAACAGGTCGAAAATGCAATCCACAAGACAGCAGCAATTTACAGAAAGTCGCATTGCCAGAGGTGGATGGATTAAGTTAAAGCATCCCTAATAGTGTGCTCAATCCGTGGTCAGAATTAAAGATGGATTAGCGAACTCACCGCTTTCTTCGAATTATCACTCTAAACCGAGGGACTGCTATAAGTACTGGTGTCCTGACCTCTAGATTAAACACAACTAGCTGACCGCAGTTTCATATGAAAATCGGGGTAACTATAGCTGCTTCCACACATAAGCTACCTGCTGTTCATCCAAGCATCTTTGAAAAGATCGGGTTAGTATCTCATCTATCATCACAGCAGTCATCTGCAGTGCTTTCGGGCGAATGTATTCAACACTGGGGGAACTATGGGTATGCAAACGAAAGTAGCTTCCTCAAAAGAGTATTTGAATTAAAAGTGATGTGTGTAAATACTGGCACCTGGAGGAATGGAACAGGTATGTGACACATGTTGCTCGCGCACTCGGAATATTGAAGAAAACTTTAGCCATAGCGTGTTGGCTGCATCCTCGGCGCTTTAAGCGCTTCCATTTGCTGAGGTAACTGGGGAACACCATGTTTCATATTCCACAGGCTGCTCACATGTTTGTACAGAAGCTTGGTGTTAGCACAAAACCTTTCAGCTAAGCTCTGCTGGCGTATTAATTTGTCCTTACGGACAAGTGTATCGCAGGGATTACGCTGCATTACATCGTTGTTCTTGTTGTCAGCTCTAGATTTTTCTCCGTACACATGCCACGCTGCGTCTCTTACTGCCATGCATTTTCGGGTTCTGTTCCGAGTGAATGATGGACCTACATCAAAACGGAGGGGCCTGTTTTAAGATGCGAATATGATCAGACTACTGAGCTTCTCAGCAAACTCCAGCTAGGCAGTATCAGTGAAACAGTCATCCGAAAACCCAACCGGCTTCTCCAATGAGTTATGTCAGTAGTTCGTAGTGTGTGGTTTTCCGATACAGGTTACTATATTCTTGTGAATATTTCGCATAACCCAGTCGTAAAGTAGTGTTAACTGATCGCCGAGCCCCAGAGGGCTCTCCATCTTTGGCTTCTCGATCATGAGATCTTCCTAGGTGAGCGCTAAATCAAGCACAGCTGTTTTAGTTACCGTTCTGAATCTGGAGGGCAACTGGGCATGGTTAAAGCTGAATGCTTGGAATAAGCTCTTCAGGTCTGCCTTGAATAGTTCGTTGGGTGAAGTCGGAACTTACAGCCCGTGCGCGGGAGATGAGAACATGTCTTCGAAATACTTTCCCCTATTCAAATGTCAGGTCGCAGTCCATCTCTGGGGTGGAGATTGGGGGACGATAAACAACAGGCAAAATCCAAGTATCGCTGCGCCTTAGTCGCAAACTGCACCAGAATGAGTCCATGATCAGCGTTTCCGGATGGCTCACCTGTTCACATTTCAAGTCACTGCGGTGGTATAAATGTACACAATCTGCTTGGTTGGGGTGTATCGTGACTTCGGAGTCGGTAATGTCTGAGTACAACCAGATTGCAATAAAATTATGATTATGATACTTGACGCCGACGAAGCTCAGCAAGCTTGTTCAGGAGATTTATTGAGTTGGTGTGCATACGGGAAAGTTGCTCTGATCTCTGTATTGAGTCGGGGGACGCGCGTTTCGCGTGTGATAATGTTGTACTGACGGAGGAAAAGTCGGCAACTACTCGCTTTTTGGGTGGTGCGGATACGAATTCATTTTTGTTGGATCCATGAATCTCGCCATGGCTGCACTGCTCATCCCATTGCAGGTAACATGTAGGGAATGTTCGCCAGTTTCCTGGCCTAGCTGAGTAATGTTATCCGACCATCGTCGGAAAGTTCCTCGATTAAATTGCTTCTGTTGTCTGTCTACTTAACAGACGCTACTTTGCTCCAGAGCTCGAAAAGTAGGCTACTACTACCTGCATACCAGCACTCTAATACCCTTGTTGATATATGTCTGGATGGAAGCGCCACTTTCATAATACTCGCGCCAACTAACTTCTAACCTGGTGATCCACGCATCCTCGACATCGATTGCGCTATGACATTTTCCAAGCTGAGGGTTCCGCGAGTGTACAGCCAATGGTGATTTTGACGTTCAAAGCCAAAAGTGACACATCTTTAACACGTTGTCCAGCTTTCTTGCTCAGCTTTGAAGCGGAGTTTGTTGGAGAGTATTGGGGCTTACACGCTTTCATGCATTCTTCAAGTGAAGCAACCTTGGAGTTCCTCATTTGTTCAGTCGCTCTCAATAGTCCTTCGTGTTTCTGAGCTAGTTCGTATACAATTTTTCCGTGGGATGGCCATCTATACTTCACAGAACCAGAGGAAATCTGATCTACTAATATGCAGCTTCAGCTGATTTGCAGCGAGCTTAACACACTTGGAATAGTGTTTGCCGAGATAATTGGAACACTAGATTCATGGATGTATATTTTTCTGGCGTGAAAGATAGCCACATACTACTGTCGTCGTTGTAACTTCATTAGACAGGTTATGTTTCTTGCCTGTAGATTCCTGCCTTTCAGGTCAATGGCTGAACACAAGAGCTGCCTATCTGTCTCCCGTGCACTGAATTGGCTGTGGTCTCAACGTCGAGTGGGTCGTTCGCCCACGCTGTAATCCCACTGTGGTGTGGCGGACAGAGCATGGTTGTTTGGCCTACTGATCACCCGCGAGCAAATTGTGAAATGGCAAAGTGAACTTGCCTAAATATTGAGTTTGATTCACTGGGAAAACGTAAATTACTATGAAAATATTTCACACTGTTAAACTAAGGCGGTGAGGGCTTATACAAAAGCTGTTGAAATGCGCTATCTAATGATGCAGGATGCATTGGTAGTGTTCCCGAAAATTGGCGGCACGACGTGGAGCTTGTCAAATCAAGACGAACGAGTACAAGTCCACCGGTGTGCAACAAGATGTGAGAGGGGAAAGGAGAATTAACCAAGAGTGCACGAATATATATATATATATATATATATATATATATATATATATATGGTTGGCGGCATCCGGTTTCGGATTTGCCTATCACTGTGGCCAGCCACAGGACGCCTGCGCCTACAGAGGGACCATGGGTGCCTTGCGCTGTACCACCTACAGCTCCACTCACACATCTCATATTCAGTGTAAACCGGAAGGAATAAGACCGGGATGCATGTGGATGGGAGCCACGTTTCATCAACGGAGTCGGCCCACACTCCTTCACAGGCAAACATAATCACGCTGTATTTGGGGAAATCAAGCGCACACAAGGCGGTGGCTGGACCGTAGTCCGCTCCACACTGAGTGCATGGAACCACTCTTTGATTCTAACACGGCCACAAGGACCGTGCACCCGTCCACTCCAGCAACGACCAACTGTCTCCTGGAGCCAGTATGGGCGAGGTAGTGGGTAATAGAGAGGTAGGCACCTTGTCAACCTGCACATCAAGCGCATCCACACCGGGGATATCAAACAACAGCCAAACACTTGAGAGAGAGAGAAAGAAAAAGAAAAAGAGAAAAACATATATATATATATATATATACATGTATGCATATATGCAGAATTCTTGAGATAAGGATGGAAGGTCAGTTGCATCTGCGAATCAAAGTAGTTTACAAAACGATGGAAACTATTCGAAACAAAAGCTTTACGACCAAGGGCCAGCTGAGCAACGCGGAAACAAGAGGATGATCTACAAGCTATCCTTCGAAAACTGTGACGATTCCTTAATTTGTCAGGCAGAATGGGAGTTTGACATGGAATTGCACATAGAAAACCTGATCATACGCCGAAAGGAAAAAGATCACCAGTATCAATACGCATGGACGTTGCGAATCATCATTTCAAGCAGCAGTACCTCATGATGCTTGGTAGAGCAAAATACCGTAAGGTTCATGAATTAATATCTGCATGGAGCTAGAGGCCGCCTACTGAGGGCTGCCTAGCAAACCTGTTATCTGCCGCAGGTCAAAGAAAGAGTTTATCTGACAGACACAATACTACCTCACCAAATACAAAAGGTGAACAGAATCATAGACACCAAATGTGACCGGTAATAAAGGCAAGTCAGGAGCATTAGTAAGTCACTTTTTCAATTTGCAGTGACTATGTTACATAACCTGGTGGCGCAAAATTTTCACGGAAAACACCCAGGTCGGAGAAAATCTCACCACCATCAAGGTTTTCTTTTTCGGACCGAGAATTTGCATAACGGAGTTGGAAACTGGGAACGGAAAGATAGACCCTTCTGAAGAAGCTCGGCATCAGTGCCACTTGACAGAGGTTTTCCCTTAAAAGCATGAAAACTTGGGGGGTTTCTAAATGTAGTGCCTAACAGCAGGGACTACAAGAGTTTGAACAGCTAGTAAATCGCGCAGTAGCAGACCACAGTTTATCAAGCCGAAGGCATTGCTGTAGTCGAGCAAATGTATACACGTGGATTAGTTTTTACTAACGACTTCTGAAGGGACACAATGTGTAGAGCAGGCTACCTCATTTAAGGTGGATCTTGAACCGCGGCATGCGAAACGATAGGGTTCACTGAGACGTGTCCAGACAAACATTCTTCCATTGGCAATGTTTTCTGAAACCCTCAAATCCATCAACATACAAACGACGAGAGGAGAGTTTTCCGCTTGCTTTTTTATTTCTCACGCATTTACTGAACTATAAATCGGACCCACAAGACGCCCGTTCGTGTTATTTAAATTTAATCGGGGCCTTTGTATTCAGCGAGAACAATCTACTGATCCGGGAGTTGGTGGATAAAAAGAATGCCTTCTTTTTGGTCATAAACGAATCACCGCTGGACAAGTACGCTGATCTTATGTTGGTGTTGCATCTATTGCAAAAGGTGGTTGAGAATGGCACTGTTAGCAAGACTCTAAAGTTGCAGCTTTTCTCTAAGGTGTCGTTGAAGAAACAGCTCTTTATGATAAGCTTTGTGTGGAACTCTCCATCCCATTTCAAACTATCGTTATGCACCAATGCATTTAAATAGGTAGACGCTTATAATGACGATATAATTATTCGCTGATCCTTCCAATCTTAATTTTCATTCCAACTATCCTACGGGACTTGTCAAGCACATACTTTTTACCCGTTATAAAGTATTGTTCAATTTTCAGTGTTCAGTACCTGCATAATGCTGGAGATCTTCGCATCGCATTGCATTTTATATTGCTTTAAGCATATATTGTGTGCAAGGCAGCAAAGGGCTCTGCCAAGTTAAAAGTTCATTCCTTGAACAGAAGAAGAAAACCCTTACCCGGACCGTGTGGTTTGCTCGATTGTAAGCGGATTACTTACATACTTCACGCTAAGCTAGCCATATATAGTGAAGAATCTGATGGCAACTAATGGAATTACATTATTGGTCACAGAAAACTGAAGCTTATTCCTCCATATATAGCGAGAATGCGCGAGACCATGGACAAATCGGCTGTTTGGGAAGTATCCCCGTTTCGCAAAAATTGTAATATCTCAACTTGATTGCGCCATGCATTTAACTAAAACTGTACAATTTCCTTTTTCATAGACATCGAAAGGATCTTTGAGGCAAGACTTCTGCGCTTGAAATCCCTTTGTTTGAGCTGACCCAGTTAACCACATGTCATTATACTGGGTGCACAATAGTTAGTTACATGTGGAACGACTAAGAGATCATCGCGGCCCGCTAATTGCACTCGTGATTTTATTCTAGGATCTGGTTTGGCACATTACTTATCTGTGGATTTACTCTAAAGCTCCCACTGTGTTAATGGATTGCGATTCACATACCCACAGAGTCTCGAGTGCGAGTAACTTTGAAGTGAATCTCACTAGAACAGGAGTAAAAGAATTCAGCGATTCATCTCCGCTTTCCGGGTTTGAGCTCGAGTCGCAGTTTTCCCACCCATAGTTGACAAGCTCAGACGAATAAAGAATCCGCAGTGGAACTCAATGTTACGAGCAGGGGACACCTAACATTTAGTTACCATCAGAAGCGAAAGAAGGCTAGGCGAGCAAAATTGTTTTCGGTGGTTCACATTAGGCTAATACACCACAGAAAATAGGAATAAAACGAACACAGGATAGTTAAACACGAGGAATCAATGAAGTGAATTGACCGGTCAATGAGATCAAGTGACGACACTGGCTAGAGCAACGTTGCTGGCAGACGTCAGCCGGTTTTTCGGTCTTTCATCTGCTCACCATTCACAAGAAAATGTACGATATTCACCACTATCCTCAATGCTAAAGCAGTAATTGCGAAGCACGTAAGATGTTGGCTGTTCAAACAGTGTGAATGAACAACGACTTCATGGGCAAAATGAAAATGTATGTGGGTGACGGTGTTGGTATACAGTGCATTGGAGATGAGGTAGTTCCAGTAGCCAAATCACATTTCATAACCCACACATCTCACACTGATTTACGCAAACTACCAAATTGTTTTTTCACTTTTAGGATACTGTTGATGGCGGCACTGAACAAGTGAGTTTGTTCTACTGTCCTATATACTTTCACGATCCTTTGCTAGTTCTGTATTACACGCCCAAACAGTAAGCGCAAGCGGCACTCACTACTGAAAATAAAGAGTGAGGAGATAAAAATCTGTGTTGTTCCATCGTTGGTGGATCGGGCACATGCGCGGCATCCCGTCGCTGCTACTTGCGCGGCGGTAACATATTGCAGCTGCACTACATCTTGTCCGGATGCAATGCGCTCCATATACCTTTAATCTGCAAAGTTGGCGTCAAAGAACCTCTTACATTCCGATACCGTTACGCCTCAGCTAGCGTCTCCGGCAATTTGCTCCAATATTTCACCACTCGACGCTCGAAGTATAGAGGGGGAGCGATGCGCTTTAACTCCGGTACCACTACTTTGTACCGGTGTCCGCCTGCGCTGCTTAGTGCTCGAACGTGCAGTAGCGGCCTTAACATAGGGAAGTAGCCCAGGTTCAGTATCCGGTGCGTCATAATGAGACCAACTCTAATCCAACGATATGATAGGATATAAAGTCCTAGTCTCCTAATTCCTCGTACGACATGCTCCGTAAACTGAGGATGAGCCGGGCCATCCGCTGGACCCATTCCAGTCTCCGTGCCTCAACTATGGCGATCGAATAGTAGGCTGGTGAGCCGTACTCAGGCGCCGGTCTTATCATGGAAAAGAACAGATGGGTGACATTCACTTCAGACCAAGTACAGAAACTGCCTAGGCGTAGTCCGTTTGCATACAGTCTGTTGGTGTTGTCGACAGATTTCAGATCACAGAGTAATAGTACACCTAGATGCTTTACAGAACTGGTGGGGTGCAGTGGGAGGCCGGCCAGGTTATACGCGGGCCCATTACCACCCATTCCCAGGCTCATAAACGAGGATCTGGCCGGGTTGACTGGTAGGTCAACTTTTGCAGACCACGGGATCGGCGGTCGAAGTCCTGTTGAAGGACGTCACAGTCGCTGGAAGAATCAATATCCCTCCATATCTTCAAGTCGTCTGCAAACAATGCGCAGGATTATCAAAGAAGCAGAAGTATTTCGTTGATGTGGATCAGGAACAAAAGGGGCCCTAATATTGTACCTTGGGGTACGCCGCTAGTGGACAGGTACCATTCCGTTAAGTGGTCATCCACCTGAATCCGCCATCTTCACCCAATAACGAAGTCAGTGTTTCACTTTTGCAGTGTGCCAACAACCCCACGCATCCTAAGGTTGTGGAGAAAGACGTTTTGGTTCACTTTATCAAAAGCTTTACTGGGTTCAATGTAGATACCATTCATTGACTTCCCCCGGTCCAAAGCTTGCAACCATTCCTGCCGCGCGCACAGCTGTTTGATGATGCACAAGCGGCGCTTCCTGTAGCTGTGCTGTGCCGGCTTTAAAAGATCTTTCGACTTTAGCAATGGAGAAGACCTTTTTCCACAATCTTCTCAAGAATGTTCGCCAAAACAGGTCCACATTGCCTAAGTCCCTGCATTTTGGAATCGGCTCCACTACCGAGCATTCCCGGTCGTTCGGCAACGCACCCTCCGGCGGTGATCTGTTGAACAGATCCGTCACGGCCGGCGAGATAGTGGCCGATAAGGACTTTAAAATTAGCAGGCTTGGTGTCGTCAAGACTGGTGAGTAGAATGCGGACATCTACACCGCAGTTCAGATCGTCGGGTTAAGTAGGGGCTGCACACCTCGAGCTCGGCATAGGCGCATGGCTACTTGTAAATAAGCAGTCAAACTGCTCTGCCAACGCGGACGCACGTTCAGTGATGGAGGTCAAAAGCTGTCCGTCAGTGCCCTCTAAAACAGCTAAGTCATTTGCAAACCTCAGGTGCCGCTTCATGTAAGCGAAAAGCTTCTTGGGGCCGTTTTCGCTGAGGTTGCAAGTTCTTCTTCCAACTGTCGAGGCTTTCGCGACTTTACGCTGTTGTATAGCTTCCGCTGCCTTTTGTAGGCCTCATAATCGTCGGAAGAGCCAGACACAAGGAATTTATTCAACAACACGCGCCGACGTCCAGCTAATTGGCCATACTCTCTATCGAACCAATGTAGCTTCACTTGACCAGTTTTCCGATGCTTGAAGGGTACAAAACGAGTACACAACAATTGCGCACTCTTTTCTAATAGATCAACTGGCTTCAACAGATGAATCCTGCGGCAGCAACCAGTCTACTTCACTTGTGGCTCGATTTAGACCATTGAACTCGGTCTTCAAATAATTGTAGGACGGCTCCGGCAGACGCGAGTAGGGCAGCGGCAGCTCTAGGCTTGCTAACACCATCGAGTGGTCACTAGCTGCTATAGGCTGCAGGACCTGAATGTCATGTATACGTTGCTCGCAACTCGTTAGTAGTAGGTCCAGACACGATGGAGCGGAATGCAGTGTCACGCGCGTCGGTTGGGAGACATGTTGTGATGCCCCAGCTTCAAATAGCATTTAGGCAAACTGCGTCACGACTTCCCAGTGCCCGGGGAGAAGTTGAACCTCAGGCCACCGTATTCGAGGGAAGCTAAAATCGCCCCTAAGCAGAAGCGGGGCCGACTTATGTAGTTTCTGTCATGCGGCAAGCAATCTAGGCATCGAATTCGCGGGCTGCGATAAGCAGCACCCACAAACCGTTCACCCTGTCTCAGGCCGATCAAGCACCATAACTGTTCACACAGACCATTTTCACTGCGGCAAGTGCAGCAGTCTACCGCACAGCGAGGAATGAATGTATAATAGCACACCGTCTCTGTCGAACCGGAAACACGAGTAGCCACTGATCTGGACTACATGGGTAGTAACCTCAGGATTTAACCAGATTCCGCCCGGCCCCAGTATGTCCGGACGACGAGAGACAATGACGTGATATACATCGTCACGTTTGTTCATTAAACTGTAAACATGTGTGGTGGTTACGCAAACGTCGTGATAGGAACCGGTGGACGCACATGAAGCGTCATTTACCAGTTGATCCGTGTTCGGTGGACCTGTGGAACTACCTGAAAATTCACAATGGCGAAACTACTTTCTCCACTGTCGGTCCACTGCTTCAACCCCACGATAGTGATCTTCAGTTTCTTTCTGTCCGACGGATCCAAAGTGGGACAAAAATAGATCTTTAGACTTCTTAGCCTACCGAAGCGGGATAGTATCAGCCTGGGACTTGCTTCATCACCAAAGATGATTGGCGAGGGCCGAGACTTCCCTTCCTCTCTTTTTCCAAGACGGGTGCTTTACTTTACCCGTAACCCTTGTTTATTCCCATCGAGAAGCCTATCCATCAGACTCCGCATAAGATCTACGTCGTGGTCATAAAGAGCCTGAGGTATAGCATCGGTTGATTCAGCGCATGAAATACCATAAAGTTACAACACCGGTGACTGCTGGCAGTTGTCCTCTCATTTTTGATTCGCACCATTCTCTATTAGCCTTAATCGCCTGCGCTATCGCACACCGGTATGTTAATGTCTGTAGGAAACAACACTGGTACCCCAGTTGAGGCTCCAGCAACGGGTGGATGTAGCTCTAAAGAGGTGGTTGGGTTTCCGCTTGCTTAAATGAACCCACGCAGCTCCTCCCTATGGAACGTTTCGCGCGTCTTGTAGGCTCTCGCGACTTCTCAGCTGCTTATGATTTCACAGCAGCTCCAGCAACGGGTAGACATCGCTATGGACAACGATGAGCTCGTTCGAGCATAGAGCTGTCTGGGTTTCCGCTTGCTTGGATGAACCCACGTCTGTACCAGCAGTACCAACAATATATCAAGGTGACATGTGTACACACTCCTTTCTGACCTAAATTTGCGTATACCAAGATTGTTCATGGTAAACCTACTTCATCTCAAAGCAGCCGGGTTCTCCTCTTTTTTCACGATGTACGTTAACTCACCACCATTTGCATACAGATAACCGTCACAAAAGGGGGGATGTCATGCAGTGAACTCACTTGTGACTGATGGGAACAAGCAAAAATTATTCCTTACTGAATGATTGTTCCAAAATTAGTAACTAAAGGAGTCTGTCAAGCACTTTGGACAATTGAAGGCCATCACCTACATTGCCTTCAGATAACTTTTTCCTTTTACTGTGGCGATCCAAAGAGTGCGACAGCACTAATTGGTACAGTTAAATATCTGTTCACAATTTTGTAGTATGAGCGAGAAACAACGAATTAGATGAGTGCATAGTACATTATCAGAAAATGGCGCGTTAGGGTTTAAAAAGAAAACAGGTGCCTAACAAGGCCCGTCGGCGGCCAAGATGAGAATCACAAAATGCAAACTAAAACAACAAAATGAACTGCACTTTTGTAAAGTTCTTACATTGTCCCATGAAGAGATTTATTAGTTACTTACTAGTATCAAACAAAACTCGCAGGACGCACTTGGTTGTCGTATTCCACCGTACAGATTATTTCATTGTGCAGGATTAACGTGAGCAGCTATCGGCTACACATTTTCACTTATTGTTCAGCTGCCTTATCCTACACAATTGGATTTAGATTTGTCTAAGTCGCCGAGGAAGTCCTGCGTCAAAAAAGAGATCAAATCTGACTCACCGCAATAAGGCTGAATCTTAACTTAGTGCGATTGATCGTTTGCCTCAACGACCGACTGAGCTAGGGTTTCTCAAACTTTTTGGCGCCCGTACCCCTTTCTAGTGGAGCATCACACGCGGACCGCCTGACATATTGTTAACCAAATAACTAACCTTTAGAAAAATAAAAATGAGGTGCAGTGTCCTCGAAATGATTCTTGTTCTACACCGAATTAATACGGATGTTTGTTAACATTATTAAAATTTGAAAGCCGTTGAGCTTAGGCAAAAAAATAACATACATTAAGGCTTAATGTGTTGGGCGCGGTTGTGTTTGGCATGTAGCAATGAAATTTTGGATGTTTGGTGTTAATGAGGAAAGCCCCAACCTCATATTTGGTTCAGCTTCAAGTGTATTGAATTCCTTCGTTTCTTCATAGGTGTAATGCGAAAATGCATTTTCACATAGATA